ATGGATTGCTTTTTTTTACTGACCATGAACGCCTGAAATCAGGCGGCTGGCCTTTCTTTCTTCCGCCTTTTTGTTGCTGAAAATTAGTGCATATTTTTTTTTTATTATTGAATCTTATTATGCACGCCCCAATTCTATTGGAGTAAAGACTTACATATCAATTGCATGTATTTATTTATTTTATTTTTTTGTGACCTATAATTTAGAGATTTTCAACATATTTTATTTGCAAAATAATTGTCATTGCATTGCATAATTATCCTATGCTTTGGTTTTTTTAAGTTAGAAAATTTCATAATCTTGATTTTGTGATTTTTTTTTTTTTGTGCTTATGCAATGCCACATTTGTTTTTTGTTAAAAAATATCAAATATCATTGTAGACTCTCTATCTTGTGCTAATGAAAATTAGCACATATTTAATGAAAATTAGTCTTATGTAAGATTTGACATAAAAATAGTTGTTGCCTTACTTTATTAATTTTTTGTTGCATCACAGCAGTGCGAACATAAACTGTTCAAGAAAAATTTTCTTTGAAGTTGCGGCTCACTGAGAGTCGGCAAACGTAATGAGTTAACTAGCAGACAACCCTTTCTTGAACATACTTAATTTTTTTTTTTTTGAACTTTAGGTATTATCTAAAAATTTAAAATGGCTTCTAGGCTAGTCATGTCAGAATTATTCAAACTTAAAAAACTCAATGGGACCAATTTTTCTATGTGGAAAAGAAAAATCGGATATATTCTTTTTCAAGATAGGGTAGATTATGTTCTAGAAACAAAACCACAAGTTTTAGAGCCTAATGCCAATGGTCAAGCCAAAAGGAGCTTTGAAAAATGGTTAGAAGACAATAAAGTAGCTAGGACTACTTTGTTGAGCTTTATGGAAGATGATTTAATTAGAGTTTTTGAGGATTACACCACAACTTAAAGTATGATAGGCGCCCTATCTGAAAAGTACGGAACCACATCTGCGACCCATGTACAATTGTTGTTAGAAAAATACAATTCTTGCAAAATGAAAGAAACAGACTCAGTGACCGAGAATGACTGTGCTCGTAAAGGATCTTGCTGCAGGGAATCTAGTCCCCGATCGCATGCAAGTATCCATTGTCCTTAATTGTCTCCCTCCATCTTGGGAGTCTGTTGTAATTGCATTGAACCAGTCTACACAAGGGATAACCATGTTAAATCTTCCTATGCATCTTAGTATTGAAGCTGAGAGAAGAATGATGAAGAAGTCAAATGAGCTCCACTTTGCCCAAAGTTCATCTTCTCAGATCCTTAATAAACCTTTCAATTATCAGAAAAATAATAGGTATAAGGGAATGATGAGAAATTTTAAAAATCAAAAGAATAAGGTTGAGAAGACCTGTTTTTATTGTAAGGAAATTAGGCACATCAAGTTTAATTATCCTACGTTGAAAAATAAAAATAGGAATTAAAATAACAACCCTGTTCGAAATAATCAAAATAAGAGAAAGGACTTGATCTGCGTAGTCCTAGAATCAATAGTTGCCGATCATGACTTAAGAAATTGGTGGGTCGACTCAGCCTCCACTCGACATGTCTAGAGGAACAAAGATGGATTCATAAAATTGAAAGAGATTGCAGCCGGTAACCAACGGATTTATATGGGAAATGACACCTACTGCGATGTACTAGGTGTTGATACTTTCAAGCTGTGTTTACCAAGAGGAACAAATCTCTTATTGACTGATACATTGTATGCGCTCAATATGAAGTGCGATTTGATTTCTGTCCCAAGGCTAGACGACAAGGGTTGTGAAATAAAGTTCAGGTCTGGTCGGGTTACCATTGGGAAGCATTCTAGAGCTTTGATGTACGGTACTAAAGTTGACAATTTGTATCGACTGAATATTAATGAAAGTTCATCATTTTCTGGTTATATTGATGCTTCTTTTGATGCTTTTATATGTATGAATGATCCATATTTATGGCACTTAAGATTAGGACATATAAATAAAGATAAAATGAATCAAATGGTTAAAAGAGGCTTGCTCCCCAATTTAGGAGAATTGTGTTCAAAACATGCGAGTCATGTATTTCTGGTAAATTAACTAAGGAGCCTTTCTTTAAAGGGAAAATGTCTAGTGAACTACTTAGTATTGTTCACTTTGATATATGTGGCCCATTAAATGTGAAAACGCATGGAGGTATGAAATATTTCATAACATTTATAGACGATTATTCACGTTATGGATATGTATACCTAATTAGTAAGAAATCAGATGCATTAGAAACATTTAAATAATATAAAGTTGAGGTAGCAAATCAGTTAGGTAGACATATTAAAATTCTTCAAATAGAGAGGGAAGGTGAATATTGTTCCACCTTATTTTTTGAATGTTGTAAGGAGCATGATATAATTCACCAAACAACTATGCCATATACACTACAACAAAATGGTGTAGCTGAAAGGAGAAATGGACATGGTTAGGTCCATGATGAGTCATTCAAATTTATTACCTCATTTTTGGGGTGAGGCTCTCAATACTGCAATGTATATCATTAATCGTGTTCTAACTAAATCTATAGACTTGACCCCATATGAATTATGGACAGGTAGGAAACCTGACCTTACTATCTTGAAAGTTTGGGGTTTTTGCGCACATGTACTTATACCACCATAAAATAGAAATAAATTACAAAGTAAAACTATAAAATGCTCTTTATAGGCTATTCAGAAAATTCTAAAGGATATAAATTCTATAACCATGATACTAGATCATTAGTAGAGAGTCGTAAGTCTCATTTATTAGAAAATATAGATGATGAAAATATTTTAAATAAGCCTATTGGCTTATATGAAATTGTTAAAGATAAGGGTCTGGAAGACCCTGTTTCTCAGACTCCCTCTACATTTGGTGAGAATGATTCAATTGAATCAAGTATACCAGATAAGCTTAAAAGAACTAAAGCCCCACCTACGACGTTAGAAGAATTTTATGTATTTATGAATGAAGATAATTACTTTTCAATGAGTGAGTATGCAATAGATGAACCTCAAAGCTACAGTGAAGCGATTAGCTCACATGACTCTGCTGAGTGGACTCAAGCCATGGATGATGAACTTGATTCTATTAAAAGAAATCAAGTTTGGGAGTTGGTTGACCTCCTTAAAGATAGAAAAGCCATCAGTTGCAAATGAGTCATAAAGAAAAAGCTTAATGCAAATAGATCCGTTGATAAATATAAAGCTAGGTTGGTAGCTAAAAGATTTACCCAAAGGCAGAGCATAGATTATGTAGAAACTTATTCTCCAGTAGCCAAATTTTCATCTATTAGAATCATCCTTGCATTAGTTGCATATTATGATCTAGAATTATTTCAGATACATGTCAAAATAGATTTCTTAAATAGAGAATTAAAAGAAGATATATAGATAAAAAAACCATAATGATATGTAATTAAAGGCCAATAAGACATTGTCTATAAACTTAATAAATCTTTATATGGTCTAAAACAGTCTTCTAGGCAATGATACTTAACTTTTCATAATGCAATCACTGTAATTGGTTATATAGCCAATAGGTTAGACCATTGTGTATATGTTTGGAATAGTTAAAGCAATTTTGTTATATTGTCACTATATATGGATGATATTTTGATAGCTGGTAATGATATTGGCATGATTAACCATACCAAATCATGTCTAAGTTCCCATTTTGTGATGAAAGATATGGGAGAAGCCTCATATGTATTGGGCATTAAGATAATAAGAGATAGAAGTTCAAGACTTCTATGTTTATCTCAAGAAAATTATTTAGAAAGTATTTTAAATATATTTAAGATGGAAAATTGCAAGCCCATAAATACACCTGTTTGTAAAGAATTGAAATTATCAAATAAAATGTGTCCATTAAATGATAGTGACAAAGTTGAAATGGAAATAATTCCATATGTTCAAGCTGTAGGATGCATAAATTATGCCATGTTGTGTTCAAGACCTGATTTGAGTTATGCATATGGTCTTGTAAGTAGATTTCAGAGTAATCCTGGGATGGCTCATTGGCAAGTTGTAAAAAGGATGCTCAAATATATTCAGAAAACTAAAAATTATAAGTTGTGCTTCCAAGCTGACAACTTAGAGGTTACTAGGTACTCTGATGCAGATTTTGCTAGAGACCCAGATGATAGAAAATCAACTTCAGGAATTGTATTTCTCTTTGGAGGTGGATGTGTTTCTTGGTCTAGTAAGAAACGAGGATGTGTAGCTCAATATAATATGGAAGCCGAGTATATTACTTGTAGCATTGCTATGACTTATGCTGTCTGGATAAAACACTTCAATGATTTAAAGTTGGATATAGCCGACGGACCTGTTAAATTTTTTAGTGATAATCAGACTGCTATTTCATCAATTAGAAATGGAGCTTATAGTTCCAAGGGTAAGCACATTGAAATTGATTATCATTATATTTATGATATTATTGGAAAGAATGAAATAACTATAAGTTATTTGCCATCTTCAGATATGATTGTAGATCCTTTAACAAGGGGATTGAGTGCAGAAATATTATCAAAGCATGTAGCTTTGATGAGACTTAGAAATATTTAAGTCATGAACTCCCAAATGGGATATTTTTTGATGTATTGGTCATGAGAGGAAAAACCGCATTAGCGTGAAAAACCATGACATGACTTTGGATATTTTTTGTTATGAGATGTATACCCGTACTTGGGTGAAAGCCTCATGACAAAATCATATACATAAATGTTAAATTCATTAAGTAGTAAAGACTTTATGATATTTCAATATATCTGGCCCTCATGGCCAAGTGAGAGATGTTGGTACGCGTGTGTGTGGCCATAGGGCTTTTAAACGTGAAATGTTTTTCTCTTTTATAATTTAATGCTTATCACTAAAAAAAGGAGGCTTCTTAAAGAGAGAAAGTACCGTTATTTAACGGCTAGAAAGTAACCACTCACTTCCCAAGATTACAGGGCCACGTTTTATCAAAGATTTTAAGAGGAAGTCGAACATTGGAGAATGACCCCCTCCATCCCTCTTTAAGAAGGATTTCATGGCCATGGAGAGGTACACAAAAATTTACAGAGTTCTTATAGTTCTGATAAAAGCCTGATCTTTGTGATCAATAGTCTTAAAACACTGTCCCTAATCATAGGAGTGGGTCCATCTCTTCCTTCAAGTTTTTCAACATTTCTTGTGCCGATGACGGAACCTGAGCGTCTAACTCTCTATTGCATGTACAGATTACTTCAAATTAGGGAAGAAATCTCTCTATGCGCTGAACCTCACAAAGCGGAGAGAGAAAGTGAGGGTTGCAATTAATACTTTAGAGGTATTTTTAAAAATTGACTGATTTACGTGCAGATCTTAATATTTTACGTAAAATACAAAATAACTCTTTTTATAGGTGGAAATTACAAAGGTCAGTCAACCCACTTGTTTTTTATTTTTTTCAAAATTGCTCCTCGAGCAACCCTAATTTTGATTTAATTTTTTAGTTTTTCATTAATAAGGCAGTGCCTCCAGCTTTAAGGCATTGTCCTACTAACTACAAAGCTAAAAAAAAACACAAAAAAAATTTTTTACGTTGATCAAAAAATAATTTTAAAAAAAAGTTAAAAAATTAGGTTGACCGACCTTTATAATTTTCACTTATAAATAGAGTATTTTTTTTTCTTAAAATTTTAAGATCCATAAATGAATCACTTTTAAAAATTTCACCCCCAAAAATGTAAATAATGGTTGTTATAGTTGAGACGTACCTTTATACCGGCACCCGGATTCCATGTGCCATGACGTCCTGTATGAGGGGCAGGACCGTAGTTGGGCGATCGCTCCAATCGCGGAAGAACACTCGATGGCTACAGAGAAAGCATTTCGAACGTGAGGGCATAAACTCTTGAAACACATATTTAGCGGAAAACATGTCATACACAATAGCATGTGCATAGAACTTACTGTACACAGCTGACATATCTTAGATAATTTGTAATGTGATATATATATGATACAAACTACAAAGCCCTACCGTCCATATGGACTGAGGTTAATCTTCACCGTCCAATAATGTAGATGAACTGAAAATCACACCAGATTTGTGTGGTCTAGGCTTAGAAATTTGAGTGATTTACATACGGACCCTAAATTTTTTGGTAAAATATAAAATGCTCCATTTATAGGTAGAAATTATAAAGAAAGTTAGTCAACCAAATTTTTTTTTTTCAAAATTGCCCTTGGTCAACTCGAATTTTGAATTTTCTTGTTTTTTTTTTTTCCTCGTTAGTATAGAAGTATGCCAAGATTTAAAGCACTGTCTACTAACGAAAAGACTAAAAAAAAAAAAAAAAAATCAAAAATTGGGGCCAAGGGGTAATTTGAAAAAAAAAGTGAGTTGAACGATTTTCTTTGTAATTTCCATATATAAGTGGAGCATTTCATATTTTACCTAAAAGTTTTAAGATCTGTATGTAAATCACTCTACAAATTTCTACATGAGTTTCCCTGTATGAGGGGGCGAACAATACTTGTATTGTGCCTTGACGAACATAGATGTTGATATTTCTAGGAGTTCCATTTTTTATGATAGAAACACATGAAAGAAGAAAAAAACAACGTTGGGCTTAATTGGTTAGCGCTTGGCGATTTGCAACACTACATACTAGGCTCAACCCCTACCAAAAGTAGAGGCTCTTTCCCCATTGACTCACCCAAAAAAAGAAAAACACACTAAGTAACCAAAACTCCTCCTATAAACCCCATGAAGAACATAATTTAAGATGACAAAAAGAATAATAATTAAAAAAAAGAAAAAGTTTATATAAGGATGCAATTTTATAATGCAGAACTACGGATGCACCTCAAAAATCCATCGGAAAAAGTAGTTTTAATGTTGAAAAACCCTTTGATTAATCATCTTGACATCGAGATGTATGACCATGAAAAATAAAAAGATTTTAAGTCTCATAAATAGTGCATTTTATAACATATTATCTATATAATCCATTTTTAAGATTTTCATATGTTTATAGATCTTTTTGATTTTAAATATTTTTTAAATTTAAAATTTTATAATTAGATATAAAAATAGATTTTGAGATAATCGTAAGAATATTTTACATCAAAATTATATACCATGATAAAATTTGAAGGTACACCTTACCTCTACAGCTACAGATGCATCCGTATGCAAACTGCACCCTTTAAAAAAAAAACAAAGTAGAAAAAGTAATTTGGAGAAAATTGTAGAACTCATCACATTTCTTACACATTTCCATAGAAAATAAAAGAGAAAAAGGGAATATATACTGTGTATGCTCCAGGGATACGGTAATCTGGTAATCTTAGCATGAAAGGCCTTTTGGTCTTCAGGGAGATTGAGATAGTTCTCGACGTAGAGATCAGTGCAAGGAGGATCAAATTCTTACGCATAACAACTCTTTCATGAGGGGATGGGGAAAGAGGACAAATCGAACATTAGTATAGTAAATGAGAAGTAAACTAATTTATGTACGGATCTCAAATTTTTAGGTAAAATACGAAATGCTCACTTTGTAGGTCGAAATTACAAAGAAAGTCAGTCAACCTTATTTTTTTTTTTTTTTCAATTTACCTATCGATCAACTTGAATATTGATTTTTTTTTTTTACTTTTTTTAAATCTTTTTTCATTAGTAGGGCAGTGTTTAAAGTTTGCGGTATTGCTTCGAAAAACTAAAAAAAAAAATTTTTTTTTAAAAAAATCAAAATTTAGGTTGAATGAGGGGCAATTTTAAAAAATAAAAAAAAAGATGGGTTGCCGACTTTCTTTGTAATTTCTGCCTATAAGCGAAGAATTTTTTATTTTATCTAAAATTGTAAGGTCCGTACATAAATAACTCTATCTAGATATACGACGGAGAAAGCGTAGGGTACAGAGACTGAAGGGTACCATGGCCCAAGAAAAGAGCTTGCGCTTTATTGGTTAGTGCTTGACAATATACAACGCTACATCCAAGGCTCAATTGCTATCAAGGGTAGGGGCTCTATCCCACTGAATTACCAAAAAAAAAAAAAAAAAAAACTCATGGCTTAGAACAAAGGCGGGGCTCTGTGAAGCCATTGAAGTTGCAATTAGGCCCGTAAATGTTGTAAGTGTAGATATCATCATAGACTTTTTGGAGCACATTGAGCCCTACATCACACTGCTGCTGGTTTTCTGTCGAGTTTGGAGACGACTGGCAATATTTGTTGATGGCATCAAAGGTCTAATCAGAAGAAATGAGAGCATGGCTCCATAAGAAATCCCTCTTTCTCGCCTCATCTGTTTCGTCGTGTAATGTAGGGTTACCGATATGTGAAATGCCCTTAAACTTAGAATCGGCGTTCCAAGGAAATAATTCTTTCAGTTTGTTTCGTCTCTTTCTAAGTTTTATGATTATCTATCATACTTGATCTCTGAATAAAACAATTGAGCAAAGAAATGGGATCTCACCGCAATGCCTTTGAGATTGATGATGGTTTCTATAGTCAATTGATTGTGCATGAGCACTTGGTAAGCCATTTGTGGAGCATAATACCCTCTATAACTCTCACCAGAGATGTAGAAATCCTTGTTCTTGTACTCTGGGAATCGATCGAACCAGTTGATCAAAAAAGTGTACGCATCAGATGTGGAACTCTCACCACCGTTATGATCGTAATCGTAGGTGGTGTTGGAGTAAGAGAAGCCAACACCTGCTGGGGACTCCAAGAATAATACGTCGCCACTACATACATCATAAGTTGAGAAGCTTAAGAACTCCCATATCTCTCCACGACTTAACCATTTTCAATATAGGGAAATGCAAATAATGCCCTAGTCAAGATAGGGAGAGTAGTAGGGGTGAGAACGAGTCGAATTGGGGCTGGATCCAACCAGATATGAATAGTTTACATTGGATTTGGGTCAAATCTGAGTTTAAGCTGGACCCAAGATATTATCCAAGATCCAGATCGGAATAGTATACATCGGATCCGTATCTGGATCCAGATCCTAATTATTATATACATATAATTTTAAAAAAATTATAAATATAAAATAAAAATTTGCTATTTAAAAAACTGGGTTGGATCCCAATCTAGATCCAGATCGGTTCCACCTTCACTCGGATTTGATTCGAATTTCAATTCGGACCTGACTTTCGGCTCTATATTAGGATTTTGAATCCAAATTTTGGGTCTATATCCAGATCCGAATAAGATCCAAAATCCAATTTGCTGATCCAGATCGGGTCAATTCTCACTCCTAAAGGAGGGGGAAGGGGTCGAGGTTCTACCTTTGTTCCATGCATGTATGTTACTGCAGAGGGTCGTCCCATCACTATTGAGCCTAAATGGTCCCAACTCCTCCATTGCTCCATACCCCAGAGAAGAGACACCGGGACCTGTGCACCAAAGCATCCAATTTATCAAAACTGAACAGTTTATAAAGTAAAAGATCCAGTACATGAACCAAACCAGAACTCTAGCCTACCTCCATTAACCCAGAGGAGTAGAGGCTTGAAGAGAGGTTCAGCAGCCTCAGCAAGATAATAGAAGAGGGCCTCCTGGCCCTCTCGTCCACTGTCACTTACCCTGCAAACTGCCGGAATTTCACACCTCCCGGCTGCCCGGGCAGCCCACCAAGGATCTCATCCTTTGCTCTCATTCCTCACTCAGGCAAGCCGGAATGACACATAACAATGGCCACTGAAACAAGGGACAAAACCACAAATTTTTTTAAACCCTTCATAGCTGCGATGCATGAGGCCCTTATGGATACCTTGTGCTTGCTTTTAAAGTTTAGTTTTATGACCTCCTTTATATAAAAGGAAAGGCCTGATCAAAAAGAAAATGGGGACGAAATCAACCATTAATGACTTTTGCGATACTGTTATGTTTCCCTATCAACATATTAACGGGACGTTGACCTAATTAATTAACTTAATTTTTATCAAAAGGCAGGGGTGGTGGGGCCCACTCCCTTAAATTTTTTTATTATTTTAGTTTTTAAGTTTTATAAGTCATATTTTAAAGGCATCATCTCATACGTCCATTGTAGCATTCACAAAACATATAGCATATTTTTCATATAAGTTTGTGTTCAAGCCCATAATTCAACTACTTTTAATATAAAAAATTTAGCGTAGGTATTCATGAAATCTTGAGATTAGACGGTTTCTAATCAATCTTGAGGCATATTTTTTTTTCTAGTGCCTAGTGGATGCAATTAGCCAATGTTTTATATTTAGGTCAACCTATGTGTTAAAGGGGTTATATCCCCAAAATGTGGCGTCTTAAAATTAATCATGGGTAGGGTTTTAATTGAGGGAGTAAATGGAGTGTATACTCTTGAGAGAGTAGAATATCTTTTGGTTTTACTATGTCGTCCAATGTTTTAAAAAAACGAATCAGTGGCCCAGTTCACCCATTCCGATGGTGGACAAGTGATCCAAATTGGTAGATCGGCCAGATTGGCTCTATCAGGCCATAAACATGTAAAAAAAATTTAAAAATTGTTATAAATATTATTTTTGGGTTTTTAAAAGAAAATGAAAGTAATTATGGACTTTCATTATTTTACAAAAAAACATAAATATTAAGACACAATTTGTGTATGAGTGTCTATTAATATTAATTTTAATTACTAAGATTAGAAACCGTCTAATTTTTAAAGGGTGAGATTTAAGTATTAAATAATTCAAATTTTAATTTTTAATTTTTTAAATATTTATTTAGTGATGCTTAAGTGGTTGCCAAATTTTCATATTGAAAAAATCCTCCTAAGTCAGCTGACCGAGGAAGTAGAAGTTAATTGTGCTCCCGAGGAAGCATAGTATAAGTGCTCAATAATAAATCGATCCCCCTTTGAGAAACAAAGGGTTAAGAAACAATGAACAACCTATCGTTTCTTCCAAAAAGTTGAAGGGGCTATTGTTATTAGGGCCAGCAAGGGGCCTGGCTTGGGCCAGCTATCCCTAGCCCTAGCGCAACCCTAGTTCTCAATGGGCTAGTCCAAGCCCGATCCAATCCTAATTGGGCCAATGAGACTACCTTTGGCCCAATGAGGATTGGGCGGGCCAGGCCGGATCTTGTTTTTTAGGGCTGGGCCGACCTGCACAGCCGATTACCATCCCTCATAAAAATAGTTTCCTAAATTTCGTTCTCTAACTTTTTCGAAATTTCGGTAACACCCATCATTACGGGATTCGAAATTTCTTTTTTTCCGGCCCCTGCCGAGCCGGGCAGGGCTAGAGCCCACAATTTAATTTCCGGACCGGGCAAAAACAGCTCGAGCCCAGCCCGGTGGGAGCCCTCCTTTGTCGAGAGAATTACAATTTTATTGCTTGATTTCATGCAAAAAAAAATGATAAAGAAAGTCGCAAACATGGAAGAATTTGCATACACGTACATATATGAAGAACTTTGCATCAACTGAGGCACACTATTTGTTTATTGAAACAGAAAGTAAGAGCACCATTCCATCACTCTCACAGACAATCTTTCACATAAGAAAGGGGGAGACAATATAACAGAGAGGGAACCAAAAAGGAGAAGGGTTAGGGATGATAGAAGAGGGAGAGGATCCATACGGATATGGATGCAGGTCCGATCCACTGTGGACAAGAGGAGGAGGAGAAGGCTTGGAGTCTGATCCTTCATCAATTCGGGTCCGACCACAATACTCTCTACATGTAAAATCACAAGTTGCGATTGCGTGCCAATTGTGTATGGGAAACTTCAGGATGCAACAATTACAACAGCGTCGATGACAGAAGTGTTGAGGACCTGTTTTGTAATTGTAACATGACTCTCTCTCTCTCTCTCTTTCTCGTCTTTCTTCTTCTGCTGCGGTTTTAGTTTGGGGTGTGGGGTCCTATTAATGGATGTCGAACGCAAATTTGGGTTTTGGATCTGGATCGGGTAAACTCTCAGCCCTATGATTTCAGGTTTCCCTCTCTCTCTCATCGCAGGATTTGTGAGTTTACCAAAATCTCTCTTTTTCCCATTAAATGTTTTGTGAGTTACTTGTAAACCAAGGATGTATTACTCATCTCCTTTTGTTTATTGATGCTTAATGCATCTATTATGGATGCATTTTGACTAGTTCTACTTGCTTCATATGGGGATTTGACATGTTTTCTCTGTCCTAGCAGTGAATCTCTCTCGCTCTCTTGGTGTCTCTCAGACCTTGACCATATTACCGTTTAAAAAATAGGAAAAATGTTTAGTGCTGTTTTTATGTTGGTGTAAGCCAAACTAGGGTTTGTCTATAATGAGACCGTTTACTTTTGATACAAGACGGTCACAATTATTTACAACCAACCGATGTGAAATTTGATAGCTTGGATGGCTTCATTATGCCTTGCCAAGCTTTCTCGTTCATGGATGGCTAATCTGGGTGGAACTAAATAAGGATAGCTTCTGAGGATGAGTCGGTCGCTTAATCGATGAAAGAATGTTATGGAGATTACTAGAGGTCTTATGGGGCTACCAAAATACTACTAGGACTACCACCGAAGCAACCCCTTATTCACTAGTCTATGGTGGAGAGGTGGTTTTAACCCTAGAATGTGAGGCATGGTGAAACTCTATGGGTATCTTCTTCATCAATGGGCTTGGTGAAAACTTGAAAGGGTGCCACAAATATGATTGTCTAAACTCACATACTTGTAATAGGACATTAAACTATGTGATACATAGCCTTGGTCACACAACTCTTAACTATACTACATTGTCTTACTGCATGACGTAAAATAACTTGGATTTTGGGTGAAACATGACTATGGCCATCCTTATTATTGCTTTCATTGCAAGGGCATTGATGACCTAAAACATCATCAATAACCTCATAATGTTAAACTTTTTTCCCGGTTTGGATGCATGACCCTAAAAAGCGCTATCATAATTTGATCCTAGTCACATGACCTCAAAAGGTACTACATGACGATCTTAGTGCATGACCTTAAAACACATTATAATATTTTAGTCCTAGTTGCATAACCTTGAAAGGCATTAGGCTCCCTTTCGCTTATTAGACCAAAGGTATCAAAGCCTAGGGTTTGTGATCATTTTGTTTGTATAGAGAGGGGTTTTGCTATTGTGCCTATTTATTGTAATTTTATTAAAATGGAAAGGGCAATAGAATTTGAAAAACTAAATAAAAAGAATTGGGCAATGTGAAAAATAATGATGAAAGATTATCTTGTTGGAAAGGAACTAGATAGACCACTTCGAGAAAAGGGGACATGTCCATTGGAAGGAAAGATTGGGAATGGGATATTCTTAATTGAAAATGTTTGACAGTCATTATACCATATATTTCACCCTCAATTTTATTTGATGTTTGTCAATGTAAAACATCTGCAGAGCTTTGACAATCTTTTGAGCAACCTTCAGGTAAAAATAAAATGCACAACTCCATCTTTGTCTTTTGTTATAATAAGTGCTGCTTCTAGTTCGATTGGATAAAATGTAACCGGTGCTGCTAGTGATGGATAAGCTTGTTACGGTAGTGGTGGGGGAGCTGACTTCTGACTCTGCCGCAAGGACATGTAGGTTTGACATAGTCACTTGGGCTATCTCAGTGAGCATGGTATGGAGGTATTGCAATGTCAAAATCAATGTTCGCAAAATCGAACCGGAACGGTTAACCGGTCATAAGGTTTGGAGCGGTTCGAATCGGAACCCGACTAACCGGAGCGGTTAACCGGACTAACAGGTCAAGTAGATTTTTTTTTAAAAAAAATGAGTCAAAATCTCCAAAACAAATTAAA